GTCTGATGCGTTGTTTAACATCGAAATATACTTGAATTGTTCTTCTATATTTGTAAGTAATTTGCAGATTTTACTATATTTGATTAATTAATGTTGTCTAATCATTTTTTGAAATATTTTCAATATCTTCAAAATACGAAACATAGACAATACGAAATCTAGAACACTTCCATGGGAAATCACCTAAATTCCAAATATTTGAGGGTACCATTCTATAATACCAAAATACTAAATTTAAAAAAAAAACCTTTAGAAAATGTGGCATAAAAAGTCAAAATATAGAATATCTGGAGGTACCGGGAACTATACAAAAAGGTAGACCGATATAACCCAATCTCAACACATTAGACACATTGTAAACACTTATTCGAAATATATGTTTGAATACTGCACTTTGTGATCCAGTACTGGTAAAAATTTCTCACAGCCTAATCAACGTATAAAACAACGTATCAGGATGTGGGATTGATCCAGCACAGAACTCTAAAGTATCTTCTTCACCCAAAATTCATAAATTTCATGACTGTCCGAAATCTACCTAGTGTCAGAACGAATTTTCCATCTTATATGAACCAAAATCAAAACTCGCAAATATTTGTTTTTTTTTTTGGAACAATTCTACACAAAGTTGCATACCAAAGAACAACTTTCGTCTTTTCAATTTTGCATCTTTTTTCAAAATGTTCTTTCGTAAAACCCTTCTCCTGGCCAACCGTTCTCAATTCTAAAAGTTTTCTCACCATTTTTTATACCCTCCACCATATTATTGAGGGTATAAACACTTTGTAATTCCGTTCGAAATACTCGTGTAAGACTCCTCGAAATACTCGTGTAAGACCCAACAAAGTATAAGTTCCGTTGAAAAAATGGTTAAAAGCATCCAAAACCCGAATAAAGGTATGAACTTTTATATAGGGTCCACACCAAAATTTGAACCTATATTGCCAGTTGTTTTTTGTCCGTTGGAAACATTGTTGAAAATATGGCTTAAATATGACAATTTGGATCTATATTGACATTTGTTTTCTATCCGCTGGGAACATTGTTGAAAATATGACTTAAATTTATAGATACCTATACATTCTATTTTTAATACCAATAGTGCTACGAAGTTGGAATATTTCATAAATTATCCACAGATACATTTGAAGTACCCGTATGCTGGAATATGTACACTGAATATCAAAAGCTCAGTGTTCATAGAGTTGAGGACTTAATACAAGGAGGAACTTATAGGAATCATTACTCTCATATAGTTCGATCCTAAAATACATATCTGGCGTATAACAAGTAAAAAGCTGTAAGTTCGGCCGGGCCGATATTTGAATGCCCTCCACCATTTGGAACGATTTTGGCAATTAAAAACAAATAAATTCCGTTAAAAATTCTGTTAAAATCTTAAAAATTCCAAATGTAGCCGTCATATTAGGGTCTAAACGACGACGTGGACCTGCATAGGTAATTTTTGTCATAAACCATTACAATATTCAAATGCTAAATCGGTGAATAATGTAGCTAAAATCATCAAAATACAGAATATCGGAAGGTACCGTTATATGGGGGCTATACAAAGACGTGGACCTGCACGGAAAATTTTGTCTTAGGCTGTAGTATCCATTACGAACTTCAAATACCAAATTTGAAATAATTCTGGTAAATAATGTCGCTAATATCATCAAAATACCTAGTATCGGGAGGTACCGTTATATGGGCGCTATAGCAAAACGTGTACCTACATGGTACATTTTCAATACCAACAAGTAAAAAAGCTGTAAGTTCGGCCGGGCCGAACTTTTAATACCCTCCACCATTTGGTACAAATTTGGCAATTTCCAAAAAAAAAAAAAAATAAAATTCGTTAAAAATTCTGTTAAAATCTTAAAAAACCGAATGCTTATACGACGACGTGAACCTGCATAGACAACTTTTGACATAAGTTATTACAATATTAAAATGCGAAACTTGAAGAAAAATCTGTTTATAATGTAGCTTAAATCATCAAAATACCGAATATAGGGGATACCGTTATATGGGGGCTATACGAAGACGTGGACCTGCACAGACAATTTTCTGGCATGGGCTGAAGTATCCATTACGAACTTCACATGCGAAATTTGAAACAATCCCGTTAAATAATGTCGCTAAAATCATCAAAATACCGAATATCGGGGGGTACCGTAATATGGGGGCTACATGAAGACGTGGACCTACATGGCTAATTTTTTGACTTAGGATGTAGTATCCATTACGAACTTCAAATACCAAATTTGAAACGATTCCGGTAAACAATGTCGCTAAAATCATTAAAATACCGAATATCGGGGGGTACCGTTATATGGGGGCTACACGAAGACGTGGACCTGCACAGATAATATTCTGTCTTAGGCTGTAGTATCCATTACGAACTTCAAATGCCAAATTTGAAACAATTCCGGTGAATAATGTCGCTAAAATCATCAAAATATCGAATATCGGGAGGTACCGTTATATGGGGGCTATATGATAACTTGGACCTACATGGCCCATTTACGAACTTAACCTGCCTACTGGCAAAATATACATGTGTGCAAAATTTTAGCCTTCTATCTCAATTTGTTCGAAAGATAGCGTGATTACAACAGAGAGACAGACAGACGGACATTGTTAAATCGTCTTTAAATTTTACGCTGATCAAGAATATATATACTTTGTTGGGTCTGACATGAGTATTTCGAGGAGTTACAAACGGAATGACAAAATTAATATACCCTCCATAGTATGGTGGAGGGTATAAAAAATAATAATTAAAAAAATCGACGTCTGAAAGTTTTTGTTGAATTCTTTTTAGAATATCTCTTTCATTATTTTACCCATCATTGGTCACTTATTTTTTCATTCAGGGCACACTGAAAATAGAAAGATTGCGAGGTGCTAAAAAATCTTCACCTATTTTTATACCCTCCACCATAGTGTGGAGGGTATATTAAGTTTGTCATGTGTTTGTGTAACACCTCGAAATATACATTTTAGACCCCGCAAAGTATATATATTCTTAATCAGAATAAAATTCTATGTCGATTTAGCGTCCATCCGTCTGTGGAAATCACTCTAGCTTCCGAACGAAATGAAGTAGATTGATCAAATTTTACTCAAATGTATATTATGTCTGTAAGATTTTTATACCCTCCACCATACTATGGAGGGTATATTAATTTTGTCATTCCGTTTGTAACTCCTCGAAATACTCATGTCAGACCCAACAAAGACCCCAATGTCCGTCTGTCTGTCTCTCTGTTGTAATCACGCTATCTTTCGAACAAATTGAGATAGAAGGCTAAAATTTTGCACACATGTATATTTTGCCAGTAGGCAGGTTAAGTTCGTAAATGGGCCATGTAGGTCCAAGTTATCATATAGCCCCCATATAACGGTACCTCCCGATATTCGATATTTTGATGATTTTAGCGACATTATTCACCGGAATTGTTTCAAATTTGGCATTTGAAGTTCGTAATGGATACTACAGCCTAAGACAGAATATTATCTGTGCAGGTCCACGTCTTCGTGTAGCCCCCATATAACGGTACCCCCCGATATTCGGTATTTTAATGATTTTAGCGACATTGTTTACCGGAATCGTTTCAAATTTGGTATTTGAAGTTCGTAATGGATACTACATCCTAAGTCAAAAAATGAGCGATGTAGGTCCACGTCTTCATGTAGCCTCCATATTACGGTACCCCCCGATATTCGGTATTTTGATGATTTTAGCGACACTATGTACCGGGATTGTTTCAAATTTCGCATGTGAAGTTCATAATGGATACTTCAGCCCATGCCAGAAAATTGTCTGTGAAGGTCCACGTCTACGTATAGCCCCCATATAACGGTACCCCCCATATTCGAAATTTTGATTATTTTAGCTACATTATAAACAGATTTTTCTTCAAGTTTCGCATTTAAATATTGTAATAACTTATGACAAAAGTTGCCTATGCAGGTCCACGTCGTTGTATAAGCATTCGGTATTTTTAAGATTTTAACAGAATTTTTAACGGATTTTATTATTTTTTTTTTTTTTGAAATTGCCAAATTTGTACCAAATGGTGGAGGGTATTAAAAGTTCGGCCCTGCCGAACTTACAGCTTTTTACTTGTTTTTAAATAAAAACTATGAAAGTTAACTTAAAATCTAATTTATATAAAAGCTATTGAAAATTATCCGAATATGTTTTTTATTGATATTTTAATAAAGACGAATAATAAAAGTTTTAAACAATAGCGTTCATGAATGCCCACCTATGAATTAGTGACTCCCACGCCAGATTCTTTTCTATATACGCCAGTGAGTTCAATCAGAGGGAAGGTGTTTACCCCAGAGAATCTGAATCACAGGTAAGAACAAAAAGATGCACAAAATAGTACGTTAGCGTTGTTTTCTCTTACGTTTGTGCTCCTATGCGCTTTCGTTAACCTTGTATTGTTATTTGATTTTTGTAATTACTTGGCAGATTTTACATTCTCTAATCATTTGAAAGTATTTAAACCTTAGCAAACACTTTTTTGGAAATATTTAAGAGAACTAGGATCTTTTCCTCCCTGCACACCAATGCTTTGTTTATATTTGGAGGCTTGCCATAGCTAGTTTATACATTGTATACATTTTATATCATTGATCGCATCGTGGTGAGAACGAGCTTCTCTTAAATATTTCAATAAGCCTTATGCTTGTTTTGTTCATTATCTATTATATTAAAAAGTACTATAAAGTAAAAAATTACAAATTCAATATAAACATTTTAGAAAAAAAGTGAAATTCTCCATCTGTCAAGGTTTCAAAAACAGCGAACGTAAGAGAAATATACACGATCGTGCTGTTTTGTGTGTAAGCGGTTTATACGTTTTTCTTTCGTTTCGATGAAAATGTTTTTATTTATGTTCCAAAAATAATTTGGCAATGAGAGACTCTCTCGAACGTTGTCTCCACCCCAAAAATTATGACTACAAGAAATTTAAAAGCATTTCCATTGCAAATGAATTGTTCAGAAGATATCGAACGGGCGTAAAGCACACACAAACGACACGAGCGAAAAACCTTTAAATTACATCTAAAGATACTACAATAGAAATTGGATTTATTGCCTTGATTTTCCGACTCAATAGTTAAATCGAACGAAAATGGTTTACGAAAGTGGATTCACTACCCGCAGAACATACAGTTCCAGACCTGTTGTAACCTCATACTCGGTTTCGGTAAGCACCTCATAAATATTAATAAATAACGACAATCTAAAAGTACAATATGGTTATCTTTATGGACCCGACTAAATAAAAGCAATTAAATTTTGTGGGTAGTGTGGATTTAATACATGGCATGAAGATTATCTTTAAGATCAATATAATAATATGAATCAGAAATCTGTACTAAAAACCTTTACATTCCAAAGAATTTTATGAAATATGCGAGACGTTGAGTGTATCTAATCTTGAATGCTCTGTGTCGTTATCATATACATCTATGCAATCCTTATATTCCGACATAAACAGTAGTATATGGTATTACTCACATTATAAATACATACACATATATTGGGATTTTAGCACAGATTTCTTATATATATAAAGCTTTTGTTTATGCTTCAACTTTATTTATAAAACTCCCAGATCGGAATTGAAACAAGTTTGAAAATACATTTAAGTTAAGTTTGGATTTAAATAAAAAAGTATCGCATTGTCATAACCAAACAAATACATTTATGCAGAAAAAAACACACAAGCATGTGTTAAACACATCTCCTTTATTAATAGATATTTATTTTTTAATAAAATAATTTACCGAATTTAATATCTATGACACGGATTAATAACGGATTTTTTACAAATCGTTGTCTTAAAGAAGAAGTATAGACTACTTTGGCACAAAAAGAACATTCGGTTTAAAAAATTGAATTATTCATTTATTCACAGTCGATTTACATTCATATACTTATATTATATTATATTATATTAATCATTAATGTTTGTCCATTAAGGAAATGAAAGAAAAGTGGAAAGTACGCATTCGCAATGAAATATATTTTTTAAGCCAACACTGTGTTTCATGTTAAAAACTATTATAGGTTGTATTACACAGATTTTGAATTTATTTAATTTGTCGATTAAAGCATCAACACTGAAAGAATTCAATTTTCATTAAAATTTGCTTTAGTAGTAACGTTGAATATTGGACAAACATATATTTACGTTGTAAGACATTAACCTTCTTCTTTTTTGTATGGCATTTTCCTTTTGTCAGAACATAAACAAGTCCAAGGCCAAACAGTTCAATAGAATTTTAATGTTTACATTCACTTTGTATATTTATAAAAATAAATATATTACGCAATCTATATTTGCGATATGCTTCATACTACAAATGATAAACAGAAACAGAAAATATATAGACTCAAATATATAAAACGTATGAAAACGTACATATGCCATATACATACAATTCGAATTTGGTTTTCAATATAATTAATAAATTAATAATTGAGTCAAATATACATAAATGTTAAATATTAGTACATATATACTCTATATTCTTAATATATAACAATCTGCGGTTTTGATCACTTCCTATAGCAAATTGTTACAAGAACTTGCAATTATTCACATTCCAGCCGTCAAAAGATGGAAGAGTAAATACCAGACAAATAACAGAATCATTGAAATGCTTTCGCATTGCGCAATGCACCAACAAAATATTTTTTTGCTCATTTTCTACACATACACTATGTATGTAGTACTTATTTTCATAATACATCAATACCTTAATATTCAATGGGTAATGTAATATGCGCGCGCATTTGCAGTCATATTTCTATAAATAACTTTTTGGAAATGGTGTGTTTGGATGTTCTGCAAACATCGAAAGACGATTCACCATTAAACGCCTCCATACCAGAGTCAATATAAATATTTCGTAGAGCCTCGAAAATTTTTTATTCTTCTAAATATTTTAGTATGCTATAAGCATGTGTAGAATATGGATGACAGCTAAATTGCTAATTTCTGTGTCAAGTGTGTTCCTTTGTTTATGCATTTCATATAAATAGAGTCAGACACATATGAAAAACCATTAAATAAGAATAAAAAAACTGTGTATATATGTGTTGCTGACGTTGACATAGGTGTTCACGGTAGAATAATGCACAGCATATTGCAGCACAAAGTACATGTGCGTTTACAGCTGTGATTCAGAATGATTTTTTACATCATTTTGGATGGCATCAAGCGATGAGCATACGTATGTAAATAGAGTCTTGGATCGAGGGAGTATTTAGTACCAAACTAGAAGCGCAGAAGACCACTTCATAGACAATTTTATTGATAAGGACTTGGACTTGATGTTATTGCAGACAAAAACCAATACAACAACGCTATGAAAACAATAGAATATTGATAATTTTTTTAACATATACATGACGAATTAATAATAAAAATTATATATGTATATAATGTTTGCTAGAGTTGCTAATCCTATAGGATATAATTTGGAAAATGTAAATAGGTAATTGAAAATAGGTTATTGAATATTGAATAGACCTGTAAATGACTATGATACTTTTTGCAGATGGTCGAATGATCAAAATACCTAATATATATAACCTTACTGAAAAAAATTAGCAAGTAATTTTTATATATTCAAAGAGTATCAAAATACATTGGATAGAGTGGTTTTAATTAAAATTATTTCGGAGGAAAGGAAATGTAGACACTTTGGTTCAGAATACAGAAAATCGGATGGTACCGTAAAATTGGACTTTTGTCAGTTACATTTCGTGCGTACCTGCTCTACTTCTTGGAAACTTTATATAGGACCTATGTATCATTATAAATCATTGTTATTTTTTTGGAATAGGATATCTGCCTATTAAAACACAGAAAATTTATTTATTTCAAATATTGTGTTTCTTAGAGCTATGAGAAAAACAACTACAAGACAACTCACAAGATATGGAACACATTGATCTTTAGTAATTGAATCGTCGATACCCTCCGACAAATGTGTCAATCCTTTAGAAGTTCAACATAATAATCATTTTTGTTCCATAAATAATATTTATTGCTGTTTAGTGTAAAATTCTAAAATCATGTGTGTCATTTCGTCCGTTTGTCTGCTGTAATCGAGTTATTTTCAAAGGGAAATGATATAGGGATATAGATCTAAAGTTTTCTACACGCATGTAAACTTATATCAAGCTCAGACATGGGCTCCGTCGATCCTTAGACGCGGATAATTTAGCACATTTTACATGGTTTCCTCTCTTCTGTTGACTTTCCCCGAAAAGTATTCCCAAATATATATTTAAAATCTTAGTGAATGATCTGTTCCAGAACCTGCAAGAATGCACTAGTTTTGCTATTTTGCTTCGATATCATGGGGGGGGAGGTGTTAAATCGGTTATCGTAGTAAGAACTTTTACATTCTTGCAGTTCTGGAACACAGTAATAGATTTATCCTTGTTCGTAAACGCTATCTGCAACCTCAATATAACGGTGCAGTCCACAAAAATTTTTGCAATAAAATTATTTGCGATTTGGTGTTTTGTTCTTCTAATTCAGTACCCTTTAGAAGCACAATTACAAAATCTCATACCTTGGGATTTGACAGTAATTGCTATTTCCTTCACAAACAGCTTCACTGGATTTTAGATATTTTCATCATTACACCATGATATGGTATTTTGTTTTCTTACATTGTGAGCAGTGACCCATCGTTGATTTTGTGATTTTTGGAAGATTCTCCACCATATATATGTATAGTGAATATTGAAAATGGTATAGACATTTTTCAGAAATTAACACAAAACCATAAACAATCGTACAAACAAAATGGAAAGTGAATAATGGTGCGAAAGAAACTAGCTATGTATATTAACTAATCATTCATTGTACCTCTTTGCTTATAACTCTTTTAAACAATTAAAACTACCTGCAGTTGACATTCTAAGATATTTACTTTTTATTGCGTTTAAAGGAAATATTGCACTTGCACTTTGTATATTATAATAGTGCAAACACAGTGATTCCTAAAAACAAATCTTCAATTTCTTCAACTAATCTTCGGGTTTTGCTATAGCACTTCTCGGTGTGTAGTGACGGTAGGAAACGAGATATTTCAAAATAATTTTGTTAAACAGCAAATGTAAACCTTATTATGTAAATACCTATATGCCTATAAGTTGGTAATACCTAACTAAAACTCGCAATTTGCTGATTTATTTTAAATTACTCACCACCACACTACTCGCTTAGAAGCACGAATGCAACCTCCACTATACCTAACAAATTTGTTTTTGGAAAACAATGAAGAGATTTACAACGGTTGAGCAAAACTTGCTTTACACTACAATACCGCTTGTAAATATAATTGCAGCACTGATTTTATATAGAATATGTCGCACCCCAAACATATGTATGAAAAACCTTGAAAGTTATTACCATCATTCTTAATTTGAACATATATGGGCATTGCAGAAATATAAACCAACCGCTATGGACTGGGAAAAGTGTCCATTTGTTCCAAGGCCATCATTAATTTCGGACCCAGTAACGGCTTTTGGCCGCAGACGGCCCGAGCAAGAGAAACAAAATTCGATATTGGATCCTATAAATAGAGCAGCCATCAAGCCCAATTACAGGGTATTAAATGAACCAATACAACCGTATGTGCCTGCTCGTGACAAAAATCGGGAACGTATTCTCAGTATGGTACGAAGGCATATTGACACGGTAGATGCTGGAGGTAACACAGCTGCTCGCACTTCGAATGATAGTTTAGATACTGTTTTGCCAAGGATGCATCGAGCCGCGTCTGAATCACTTCCCGTTCGACGCGAAACATATCGCAATGAAAAGTCTGGTGCTCTGGTTACCAGATATATATATTGAATTTGTCTACACAATGCGTCTAATAATCTAATAATAGCTTTTTTTAAAGCCCGTACACACTTATAACTTTGTTTTAACTATTCCTTTTAACTTAAGTTTGCCTTATTCCAACAAATAATTTTAACTTTATTGCGTGGTTAGCAATGAAATAAGCAATGTAAATTCAAACCTGTTTCAATTACCACTAATTTGGTGTTAGTCGTAATTTTCGTCTTAATTCTGACTATTATGTTGATGAAAAACAGATAGAAATGGTCTAATTTTACTGAAAATTTTACTCACAAATTCGCAGACTCCTCGTTATGACTTGGTCAGCGCTGCACCAGGCACTCACCGTTCTCGTGGTTCCAGTGACTATTCGTACTCATACAAATCTTCGGTCGAAAAATCCAATTACGATTCCAGTAATCCTTATAGCAGACCAGAGCGTTATGAATCTAGCTACGAAACTACATCTCGCAGTGGACCTGGCGGATATAACTACACCACTGAACGTTCGAGCACACTTGGTGGGGGACCAGGTGGATACAGTTATTCTTCCACCACATCTGGAGTTTTGCCAGGTGGTTCCCGTTATCGTCATTTTTCGTATCGTGTTTGAAAACTTCATAATAATACTAACTACAAAATTGTATATCCCATTATAAATTTGAATATTTTATTTACGGTTGAAAATAATTGTCATACACATGTATAATACATAATTACGTAACATCACTAATTTATCAAATAAACGTAAAGTTATTATTAACAACAATCTGTGATGTGTTTATTATTCCTTTCATCAGTACTTTGAATGATAATGCGATATTCAATACATTAGGTATTTCTCATTCTATTTCAATCCGATCAACAAGTTAAATATATATAACTATTAATATATGTATGTATAAATAATGTATTTTTATTCCTCCTGATTTTCAGTATCCAAGTGTAACCAAGACAACACGTGTAAGTATAAAATATTCTTTAACAACTTATGCATATATATACATGTACTTAATCCAAGACTCAACGGGTGGGTTTACTATGCGAAACTGACACATTTTATTATCTTGACTGCACATGGCTTGAGTATTTACAAAGTATATTTCACCTATTGAGTCCTGTTAACACTTTAAAGCTTTGTTGATTTTGCACAGATATTTAGAATATTTGTCGTACGATGTTGAAATATTTTAAGCATTATCATATTTTTATTTGACTTTAATGTGATTCCATTAAATAATGCCTTCTCCTTAGAATCATTTTTTTTGACTAAATGAGCAGCATGTATTTAGTTACTTTTGAATGTTTAAGGATAATAAATGAAAGCTGTGAATACATTCAGTATATTATTGGTAGATATATTGAATTTATTCACATTTATATTAGCTCAAATCATACCAAATTGCAATCAACTGCATTAGAAAATACCTTAGGAAACTCAAGATACTTTAAATAGGTGGGTGCGGTGTGGAAGCGAACCAATGTCTATGTTTGTTTTAACAATGAGTTAAATATACAAAGCGAAATACAATACCAAATAAAATCAATTTTGATGAAAAAGAGCTAAAATACTTTAATATGTTCCAAGTCGGGAGCTAACACTGCATACTTCTATATCATTTGCCAAGAAATAAAATAAAATAAAATGTGGTTACACAGCTGCTCGAGGTTCGGAAGATAGTGTAGGTCATTTATTCGAAATATGAGCGAGTTTCTGTCTTTCCACGAATTCGAGCTGGGTAAATGCAACAAGTTAGGTAATCCCAGTACAGGTACTTAAAACGTATAAAGTAAATGTCACTAAAGGTTTTCAGATGATACAATTCGAAATACTCTTTTAACAACAATAAAGTGGACGAAAATAAGTTTATTATATTAAATAAGTGTAGATAATACAAAATTCTTAATTAATAAAAACTATTAAAAAAGTATTAAGTTCGGCCGGGCCAAACTTGTAATACCCTCCACATTAGGGTAAAGGAAACATTAGAACCCATTATGACCCACAAATACCAATATTTAGACAAATCCGTGAAAAACCATCAAAATACCGAATATCGGGAGGTACCGTTATATGTGATCTATACCAAATCGTGGACCTATACATACAATGTTTCGCCACACGATCTAGGACCCTTTATTACCTAAAAATACTAATTTTCAGACAAATCAGTGAAAAAAATATGGCAAAAACCATCAAAATAGCGAATATCGGGAGGTACCGTTATATTGGGACTATACTAAAACGTGGACCGATATATCTCATTTTCAATACCAACCATCCTAGATATAATGCAAATTGTTCTGCTAAATTTTATGGGCTGTATTGTGATTTCAACAGACGGATATCGTTAAATCGACTTAAAATTTTATGCTGATTATGAATATACATATACTTTTTGGGGTCACGACGAATATTTATGGAGGTATAAAAAACCCAAGGTGGAGGGTATAAAAAACCCTGATGTCGTCGATACGACGAAAGCATGTACATTTTTCTAACAGATTCCATCGTAATGTAGCATATAGTTCTACAAGTCGTAGAAAACCTCTATTAGTACCAGAGAGCTCGAATATTAGAATGAGGAGGGGTGTTAGTATGAAAGTGGGCAAAAAGGCACGGGTTTGGGAAATTTGTACAAAAAGGTACCATCAATTGTATGAGTTGCGCTAAAATACTTTCAAATTTAGCAGGAGTCTACTTTTGACGCGAGATATCAGATAAAGTGGCAAATTTTGCAAATTCAGATAAGCTGTTTTTTTCTAATTTGTACTAAAAAGGAAGTAAATCATGGCAATGTGAGTAGAGTTACTTCTGTATTCTCATTTGTATTTTTTGTTTTTGGTCCATTTTATTGTTAAAATAATGCCATAGAGTTATGCAAAGGCTTTTCTCGTTTTTTGATCGGAGCATTACATTTACGCCTTCTGAAATGCTAATGAGAACTCAAAATAATTATTGAACATTTTGACTCCTGTAAATATATTGCTATATCTCCGTTATCTGGCTATATGCGTCAACGAAATGCGCAATACTTTATAGGTCGGGAGAGGTGTTTTCTTGTATTCGGATTTCACCCGGCCGATTAAATATAATTCAAATTGGCATGCTTCTGCCCTATTTAAACTCTAACCCTATGGTAAATTACGCGTCGCGACTGCAAAATCAGCAAAAAGACGTCGGACAAAATTTTTGATCTATAATTAAGAAAGGAAAAATGAAAATCAACCATTCTAAGAATATAAAAATCTGTGCAAAGATTTAAAGACATATCTTAAATATGGCGACCTTTATCATGATTTCAATTGAGGGAGGGACTGAGACGGAGATAGTTTAAACGATATATAATTCTACTTCGATCAAGCATTCATTATTTATGGAGTCCCCAACGAGAATTTTGAAGTGTTGCAAACTGAATAACAAAGTGCGTTTGGGTTTCCCAAAGTATTTATGCTCTCAATAATTTAAAAAAAATTTCCATAACTGTTTCTTCCATACGAGTGGCATATATTTTGTAAAAAGTTGGGCGTTGTCAATGAAATATTGTGAGAAGATTGTATATCATATGTTAGTATGAGATTACTTTATACAACTTTTCCATTGTCCTATCCATTGTAAAATAAGATAGGGTCGAGCATAGCAATCACCGAATATCATTTTTTTATGTACTGTTTTGAATAATAAATAAAATAATTTTAGAAATTATGTTTAAACAAAACAAGCTGTAAGTTCCGCCGAACTTTTAATACCCTCCACCATTTGGTACAAATTTGGCAATTTCCAAAAAATAAAATCCGTTTAAAATTCTGTTAATATCTTAAGAATGCCGAATGCTTTTACGACGACGTGGGCCTGCATAGGCAACTTTTGTCATAAGTTATTACAATATTTAAACGCGAAACTTGAAGAAAAATCTGTTTATAATGTAGCTAAAATCATTAAAATGCCGTATATGGGGAGTACCGTTATATGGGGGCTATAGGAAGACGTGGACCTGCACAGACAATTTTCTGGCATGGCCTGAAGTATCCATTACGAACTTCACATGCGAAATTTGAAACAATCCCGTTAAATAATGTCGTTAAAATCATCAAAATACCGAATATCGGGGGCTACCGTTATATGGGGGCTATATGAGGACGTGGACCTACATGGCTCATTTTTTGACTTAGGATTACGAATCCATTACGAACTTCAAATACCAAATTTGAAACGATTCCGGTAAACAATGTCGCTAAAATCATCAAAATACCGAATATCGGGGACCTGCACAGATAATTTTCTGTCTTAGGCTGTAGTATTCATTACGAACTTCAAATGCCAAATTTGAAACAATTCCGGTGAATAATGTCGCTAAAATCATCAAAATACTTAATATCGGGAGGTACGGTTATATGGGGGCTATATGATAACTTGGACCTACATGGCCCATTTACGATAGCGTGATTACAACAGACAGACGGACAGACAGACAGACAGACAGACAGACGGACATGGCTAAATCGTCTTAGAATTTTACGCTGATCAAGAATATGTATACTTTTTTGGGTCTGACATGAGTATTTCGAGGAGTTACAAACGGAATGACAAAATTAATATACCCTCCATAGTATGGTGGAGGGTATAAAAATAAAATCCGTTAAAAATTCCTATACGACGACGTGGACCTGCATAGGCAACTTTTGTCATAAGTTATTACAATATTGAAGAAAAATCTGTTTATAATGTAGCTAAAATCATCAAAACACCGAATATAGGGGGTACCGTTATATGGGGGCTATACGAAGACGTGGACCTGCACAGACAATTTTCTTGCATGGGCTGAAGTATCCATTAACAACTTCACATGCGAAATTTGAAACAATCCCGGTAAATAATGTCGCTAAAATCATCAAAATACCGAATATCGGGGGGTATGGTATATGGGGGCTATACGAAGACGTGGACCTACATGGCCCATTTTCTGTTTTATGCTGCAGTATCTATTACGAACTTCAAATACCAAATTTGGAACGATTCCGTTAAATAATGTCGCTAAAATTAGCAAAATACCGAATATCGGGGGGTACCATTATATAGGGGCTATACGAAGACCTTCATAGATTATTTTCTGTCTTAGGCTGTAGTATCCATTACGAACTTCAAATACCAAATTTGAAACAATTCCGGTGAATAATGTCGCAAAAATCATCAAAATACCGAATATCGGGAGGTACCGTTATATGGGGGCTATATGATTTCTTGGACCTACATGGCCCATTTACGAACTTAACCTGCCTACTGGCAAAATATACATGTGTGCAAAATTTTAGCCTTCTATCTCAATTTGTTCGAAAGATAGCGTGATTACAACAGACAGACGGACAGACAGACAGACAGACCGACATGGATAAATCGTCTTAGAGTTTTACGCTGATCAAGAATATATATACTTTGTTGGGTCTGACATGAGTATTTCGAGGAGTTACAAACGGAATGACAAAATTAAAATGGTGGAGGGTATAAAAAAATATATATTATTTATGTTACAGCTTTTGGGAAGAACAATGGTTTCCGTTTTCCGGACAAAAAAGGATTGCAATTGTATTAGGAACTCGATGTTGTGAAAAATCCACGGCATTCCATGGCGTTTTATATAAAAATATTGGGAGAAAAATGTCAATAAACAAGTAAAAAAGAAGCTAAGTTCGACCGAACTTTTAATACCCTCCACCATTTGGAAGGAACTTGGACCTTCTTACGTGAACTTTTAAATATACCAGATTTGACTATCGACTATCGCTAAATCGTCTAAGAATTTTACGCCTCCATAGAATGGTGAAGGGTATAAAAAGTAAGGTAGAGCTATCAAGTGATTAGATTTCTTTTCTAAGTATGCCCGACTTCTGCATTTTATACCCTCCACCATACAAGGTATGGAGGGTATATTAAGTTCGTCATTCCGTTTGTAACTCATCGAAATAATCATTTTAGACCCAACAAAGTATATATATTCTAAAATTCTAAGACGATTTAGCCCTGTCCGTCCGTCCGTCCATCTGTTGTGATCACGCTACAGTCAAAACGAATTGAGATAGGAAGCCAAAATTTTGCACAGATCTGTCTTTTGTCTGCAGGCAGGTCAAGTTCGAAGACGGTCTACGATATCGTATAGCCCCCATATAACGGTACCCCCCGATATTCGGTATTTTAATGATTTTACCCACATTTTTCAACGGAATTGTCTGAAATTCTACACAAGGAGTTCTTTTTGAACACTTTACCCCCCGATAGAGAATTGTCTATATAGGTCCACAATATCGTATATCTCCCATATAACGGTAGCCCCCGATATTTAGTATTTTGATGATTTTAACCACATTTTCAACGGAATTGTCTGAAAATCCACACAAGGAGTTCCTTGTGACTACTTTACCCCCTGAAAGAGAATTATCTACATAGGTCCACGATATCGTATAGCCCCCATAAAATGGTATCCCCCAATATATCAGCGCCTTCTGAGATTAGTTATTTTGAAGCTTTTAATAGAATTTTTAACAGATTTTAAAAAATGTTTAAATCAAATATGGCAATCCTCTTTTATCGTACTCGACCTTGTCATTTTTCAAATAAAATTTATTCTATATACTATATATGACATATTTTACAAAAGCAATTTGTTATTTCTTATCTTCGCGTCCCGTTGAGCTTAGCTATTTATTTATTACCGAGGAAGTCGAATTTTATTAATGTTTCCATGCCGACAAGTACAAAATAGTTCCGACTGTGACAAAAATGAACTTTTTAATGTATAATCATTAAAGCTTCAGAAAATTAATAACAATATATAGTAGTAAAAAATTTGTTCAAACCATATAAAACTGTAAAACTTACTAACTTGTTTTATATTTACTGCTGGTGCTGGTTAAGAGGCACTCTTGTAACAGGGAGATTATAAGATCATTGAATTTATATATAGGTTCAGGGTTGCATGTAGCTCCCATATAGCTCTCGATATTCGATAATTTCTAGGTTAAAGTCACATTTTCTAACGGATTTTTTGGTACGTTTTCATACATCCCCCATTTTTGGTATTTTGATGATTTTAGTCACATTTTCTAATGGAATTTATAAAGATACGGTACTGAGGGTTCGTATAGGATTCCACTAATTGTCACATTTTTCAACGGAGTACTTAAAAAATGGGCTAATGATTTCTTATATCATTCTTTTGAGAACTTTAAGAGTTTAATTGTTTGTATCACACATATTGTATGTACAGAGTGAGAACCATTTTCTCATGAACGTTTTTTTGAAAACAAAGACCTAAGTAAAACAAAATTTTTAAAATTGTACTGGACATTTTTTCTTAAGTAGCATTCAGTCGCAGAACGCTTGGTTCAAAATTACATCCATTACATTTCGCTTTTTTACTGGACTGGGGGGTTAATTATTTTCACAAATTCGTTGTTTGCAATGAAAAGGAAAGCTAGAGAGACACTTACACATACACACACACGCCTTCGTCGTTTGTTAAGCGGCTCATCCAGCACATTTGGTGTCGTGAATGGCTTATTATTATTTGTTCTTAAATAATTTATTAATAATACTAGCTGGACCGGTCAGTTCTGACTTATGTAAGCGGCACAATTTTTGTTATAAGTAATGACTCAATAGTAATTTCTAAATAAAAATAAATATTCATGGCAAAAATTATAATAGATGTTCACCTACCGTCGGTGTTAGATAGAATAGCCTGATTTTATTTTTCAGCCATAGGCTTTAATTTGAGTGTTAACAAGTTAAAAAACAGTACGTTCGGCCGGACCGAACCCCAAGTAGTTGGTGGTCGAAATTATGGTCCCTCGACCTGAACATTGAGCTGTGTTCTCATCTCAGCAGTCCATGTGGTAAATAATGTGGATGTTGATTTGGTGGCGGATATTTTCATATTCCTCGCATGGAAGGCGGCAAGCTCCGCGAGATAGCTGTTTACTCTGACACATATGTCATCAACTACAGGACCCGATGCCATGATCGTACAGTCATCCAAATACGTTACGATCTCGATGCCGTCTAGAGGGCGCGGAATTCCGGAAAGGTTGAGGTTAAACAGTTCCGGAGTCATCACCCCACCTTTGGGAACTCCTTGTTTCATCTACAGGGCTTGGACTTCTTATTCTAGAATTCCTACATTTCCAACATAGCCGGAGGGTAGTATTCTCAAAGTCCTCAAACAGCGTGGCATGGTTGATCCTATCAAAGACTTTTGATAGATGAAGAGCCACCACTACAAGAGTCTTTGCTATTGGCGATAAAAGCCTGATTCTTACAAATTTTGTCAATTCAGAATGCCCTCTTGGCATAAAAGTATGAAATCTAAAAAATCACTTAAAAAGATGCCAATAATGATGTTAATATAGATTTTGTAGTATTTTGTGACATATTTTTATTTTTTAATTTTTTTGAAGTATACATTTTGTAATATTTTTTTACCTTACAACACAGGATGGGGTTATTATATACAGATTGTCATTATCGTCCAATACTCACGAAAATGTTCACAAGGGTAAGGTTAGGCTCAGGAGGGTCTATAGGCTCAGATAGGTCTACTATTGTTTTTTTAAGATGTCCACAATATATTTAGGGTTTGAAATGGACCAACAACTAAAAATGACCCTGATTTTGCCTTTATAACGGTCACAAATAGAAACCAAAGGACACGAACTTTCGCATGAAGTTAGAGTTTAGGACAGCGGGTAGAATGGACCACTACTTTTGTGTGAAAAAATACCAACATTAGTTACAGGCGATATCCGAAATACACAAAAGGCGAACTTCTGGCTTTTTTGTGCTGATTTTGTTGACGAATATAGACAAATATCTTAGACAAGGAAATCATATAGATGAGTCTAAATTTGGAGATACAGAGGGGCCTCTTGCTTTAGGAGATGATCGCAAAATATTAGGGGTTCAAATGAACCGAAAACAGGAAAAATTTCAGGATCACACAATTGAAGCTAACATCCCCTTCCCTTGTATAAACACATTGTATATATTGCGCCATATAAATCCGATATATTTATTATCAGGATATATATAACGGTCAGAATTGGCCTGTTCGTCTATTTTTGATTTCGCCGTGATTAAAAATATTCGCGGTTGAATGGAAAATTTGACTTTTATTTAACACATATGTTATGGTCTATTTCACCCACTGAATATTACCCGATGACCTTCAAAAGCCCTAAGCTCTAGCCCAAGCTATCTTCCGTGTCGATTGGTCTATAATTGCGACCTGTAGAGCAACTACAAAATCAGGAAATTGGTCCATTTCAACCCCTAACTATTAAGCAGTAGGCTTCTTTTCTGGACATAGCCCCTACCCCATTCTAAATTGCGACCTGTAGAGTGATTACAAATTAAAATGGACAGACGGACGGACATACATAGCTAGATCGACTCAGCTCGGAAGATCCATATATACTTTCCTATGTGGGAAATCAATATTTCGAGGTGTCTGTGAATACCCCCCTCCATTTGGAACGATTTTGGCAATTTTCAAAAAAATATAATATGTTGAAAAATTTTGTTAAAATCTTAAAAATACCGTTATATTAGGATCTATACGACCCTATTACCTATAATAAAAGGTAATTATTACGGTACGCTAAAAACTTCTGTGTTAAAAATGTAATGATACCGAAGACCGATATATAGGGGTTATATGATATCACGTACCTATGTAACACATCTTTGAACTTGACCTGTCTGCAGAGTGGTTATACCCTACATAATATGATGGATCATTCCTTACTTATCTCTCAACTCCCGGTTCATACAGCTGTTTCGACATCATCATAGGGATTACGTCAATACCAAACCCTTAGGTGACATAGCACTTCTTATGAATGTAAAACAACTTCCATCGTAAATTGTGGTGGTAAATCCTCAGCTAGAAGAGATCGAATACAGTGTAAAATTTTTCTCTTAGACCTGACACTCGCGTACCCCTTCGGATCTCTAACTTATACGCTGTTAACCCGCACGGTACTTGAGTTATCCTTCTTCTTTCTGGGTTCGAGAACGATAATTTACTCAATCTGATACTGATGTTGCAATACTTCAGACACCCTAGTGAAATTTTCGGTTTATACTCGCTAACTAAAATTTCTTTTCGATGACTAGGTTTCGTGTTGGAGATTATCACGCTCATTAGCTAGATCCGATGCTCTTTACTAATAAATTTGTTTTATCTCAGGTGTTCGATCAACAGGTACAGCTAGCGGCAGTAATTGATGTTCTGGTTCAGAAGTTATAAAGTCTCGTGTTGATATATAACGTACAATTAAACGAAATTGTATGTACCAAAACGTGGACCGATATTTCTCATTTTCAATACCAACCATCCTAGATACAATAAAAATTATTCTGCTAAATTTTGACGCTCTACGTCAAATAATGTGGGCTGTATCGTAATTTCAACAGACAGACAGAAGGACAGACTGACGGACATCGTTAAATCGTCTTAGAATTTTATGTTGGTTATGAATATATATACATTATGGGGTCTACGACGAATATTTAGGGATGTTACAAACGGAATGACAAAGTTAATATACCCTCCTTTCAAAGGTGGAGGGTATAATTATCAATATGGATTTGATACAATTGAAAATAATTTTACATTTGGCAGAATAGATAGCTTGTCAGCTGTAACAAACTAATTTATATAATTTTTCCAATATGCTCTTGCTTTAAATACTAACCAACGATAGTTAAAACAAATAATAATGACATTTATGTTTCTTCGGTTATCTAGGTATACAAAACGAGTTACCCTATTTACTCCACTTCAACATACACTCGTGGAGCTCGTGTGATATCTTCCCCTGTTCGGATTGTTTCGTCCCCGAGTCGCATCATCACTCGTGTCATTCGATCTCCTTCCCCAGTTCGTGTTGTCCGATCGACCACTACTCGTGTAATTACTTCGCCTGAAAGAGTCACCTCATATACTTATACGACACCGTCGACATATGCGTCGACCTACCTTCCCTCAACATACACATCTTATAGACCATACTATCCAACTTCCTACTCATCTAGTTATCTTCTTCCCTCATACTATTATACACCAATTAGTCGTGTATACACGCGATCATTGTCGCCTGTAAGAATAATTACATCTCCAGTACGCAGTGTTTCAGTATCTCCATTGTATTCGAAGAGATATATGCCGGGATATGGTGACCGCGCCTTGACTTCCTACCTCACCACTGAACCGTTCACGGCAAGTTTATGACGTTTACTACGTGTTCGAAAATAAACAATACACTAACACAAGGTACCCAAACACTAAAGTATGTCTTTGCGTCATTCCAAAATATGATTATTGTGGTTCATTCTGATGTGTTCATGTATGGAGCAATACTTAATGTCACGAGTCTAGGACCAATATTTCGAGATGTTTTTTTTGAAAAACTAAACAATAATACCCCCAAACACATAGTGTTGTAGAGTAAAAATAATAGTTAATTAAATTTAAATAAATAAATAATTAAACTTGGATGAAAATTATCTCGCGTAGAGATTTTATAATTAGGAAAACATATAAACCATCAACACGTTTTAAATTAATATTGCATTCCAAGACGAAATAAAACAGTTTAATTATTGTATACATAATGTAATGATTGCTATATCAGACAAGTAACAGAAAAATGTTCTTTTTTGTGTAAAAATCGTGAAATAGTCATTTATAAATTAAATATCAATAAATCGTTAAAATGGCGATAAATCGTCAAATCTGACAACAGTGGTTGTGCATTGAAAATGTGTGTTTTGGGTATGCTAGAATACAAACTATAAAAAATATTTTGGATTTGTGTACCTGTGTTTTAGCTTTACATGGTATATGGTGCAATGTTTGTTTTCGAGTTCTAATTTGATATAAAGGATTCCAAAGCATGTATCGTCGCAAAACGCACTATCTTATGTCTCTCTTGTATTTTTATGCATATAGACTTTTCGGGAAGAGACTGGAAAGATCAGGCATAGAGCTCAATCACTAATTCGAGATTTGCACACTCCAGTTCCACGCCGCAATCGCAGTTGCACTCCGTTCCCAGTAAGCAGGTAAGTTCGGGTTTGGTATTTACTTGCTATATCTTCCAATTTATATTTATCACTCTAGTTACGAACCATCATCAGAGTTAGCGCTTGATGCTTATGTCTCCCGTATTACAAACCCAGTTCGTCATATAGCCAAGGAAGTTCACCGAATGTCTATGTATCCTGATCCACCACGCAAATATGTTGGTATGTATAAAATTAGAATTTAAGTTACTGTAAGGTAACTTGGCATTTTAATGGACCAATGGGATTGCTATTTTTAACGATGATACATTATAACACGTTTCGGATATTTTTCATAAATTTTAATAAAACAAAAGGGAGAAGCCATCTATCATCCATTCGAATTTGTGGAAATAAGGCTTATGATATTCGAAGACCTATGTACGATAGTGATAAAGTACATACTGACATTAACATTTTGTCTCGATACTTAAGGGAGAAACAACTAAAAGAAAAGTGTGAACAATCGCATGAAAAGTCCACAGAGAATGTGGCAACATGTAAGTAGTACACCGACTTTCCAAAAAGACAGAGCATTCATTCATGCATTTCAATCGCATATGGCACACTCTATGTTACAAATATTAACCATTTTCAATGAATGGTTGTTCGTTCTCAATGGATTATCTTACTAGCCACCCATCGATTCAGAATAGTCCTTAGTGACCAAGTGTTCGTGTTCTTTTGAAAGTGTAGGGGTATTATTAGCTTTATCTTAAATAAAATTTTCTGAAAAACAAGGTTAGGCAATAAAACATGTTTACCCCTGTGTTAATAGTCCAGATATTAATCGAATTCCATTAATGTTAAATATATCATTTATATTGTTGTTGCAAAATGGTCAGGCTTATCCCTTATTGTTGTTTTTATAAAAACAACGTTTGTTTATTAGTGGAGAACGATGGTAATGTTTACCAAGGGGTAAGGCAGGGAATACCTAGGTTTCGGAAAGAGCCACCAATCCTCATCAGTTCCCTTGTTTTTGTCTGGGATATTCTCCCCAGAAGTTATTTTAAAAATAACTTCTATGACAAAAAACATTTTTTTTACCCAAGTTACGAGATCGTAAGCTCAATAGAAGAGGAACCAAAGAATTATATAAAACTAAAATTCTTTTGGAAAGTCTTCTAAATCTTACAACCGCACTTATAAACATTTTCATCTTTCTCCACTTGTTATGCTTTCGTTCAACCTGAACAAAGTAGCATAACCATGTAAGTTGGTTTTGTCTGTTACAACAAATAACAATAAACAAACGTTGTTTTCATAAAAACAACAATAAAGGGATAAGCCTGACCATTTTGCAACAACAAAATACTACGGTATCCCGAACAAACAAGCCACACTGTTCTATATCATTTATATATTTCCAAAAAAGTAACGCGTGTATCATTTTCAGTAAAAAATTAAGCTGTATTCTGAATTATTTATCTAAAATCTTTATATTTGCCAGATAATGAAGATATCGGTTTGAAAATTATTACACGAGATACTGTTGACTTTCCCTCCAAACTTAGGAATTTATTTGGGCGCTAGGGAACTGACCACGCATATATATATATATATATATATATATATATATATATATATATTATATATATAATATATATATATATATATATATATATATATATATATATATATATATATATATATATATATATATATATATATATATATATATATATATAAAAGAAAGTTGTGTTAGTTACTACGCTTATAACTTACGAATCGCTGGACTGATTTTAACGATTCACACAAATTCGGAATTGCCTCCTCTCCGAAAAGGATAATATCCAAAAAAATCACGTAAAAATGTGATATATTAACATTTTCATTTTGACTTTTGAAATGTACAATAGTAATGTTTTATTTTGCATGATTTTTTTTTCCATTTTGACTTACTTTTTTCTAATGTACATTTGTAGTGTTTTTTATATTTTATTTTTGAATTTTTATTTTGAATTAATTGACTGATTTCTTGAGAACTGATATTGATGGCGGGTTACATGGAAGTGTAGTGCCGAATTATGTGGTGGCGAAATGGAATATCGAAATAATTGAACGCGGTCACACCAAAGTTAAAGATAATTACTTTTTCAAAATCGCTAAAAAATCACAAAAAAGAGATCTCATTGCAAAAATTCTCAAATCGGAAAAAAATCTAAAAAAAATCATTGGAATCGAATTTAAAAATAATAGTACATTCTATTGACAATCTTTACAAGGATCTTTAAACATTTGCTGTAAAAAATCAGCGAACAAGTTGAAGATTTTTTCAATTTGTATTATCTTATTGAATTCAATGGAATTTTTTGTGAACAAAATAAAGAATAATTTTTCAATCTATATAATTTTTACCAAAAAATTAAATAAGTGCGAAATACTATGTAAACTGACATCTACCTTTCAACTCCAGGGCCTACACCGTTTTTCAGCTGGAAGATGCGAACACATTTAAACAAACAAAAATGACCGAAAAAAACCTAATGGGGCTCATTTCAAAGCCTGGACCTACTTCTTTCATGTGACAATAATCCGTCCAATGAGAGCTCAAAATGCAAAATTCTTTGGGAGTGCAATCAGTAAAATACCAAATATAAAGGGTGCAAATAGTAGAGCGAATGGGACTTTTAGTAAGAAAAGGATTTCTATCCTTTCCAAACATTCAATATACCTTAAATCGCTTTTGCAGGTCATGATATCGATCATAATTCTCGGATAAGGGTACAACCCTATTTAACCCATATTTATATAACCTCCGTATGATTTAAGATATTTTTGCGGTCTTGGCCACTTTTTTCTTTGTTTGGCCCTTATTTGGCATCTTTGTTTCTAAGGGGTAGAGAACCTCTTCGCATAAAATTTGAAATTTTCAGAATAAGGTCAATATTTGTCTTGACCACATTCATCAATTGATTTGGCTAAAAAATTGTATTTATGCTACCCTGGGGTGGGGAACCATCATACAGAGTGCCACATAGGAATTTATTTAAGTAAAGTCCCCATATTGGAGTATCCCCAAGTCCACTTTCACATCTAATGTGTGGTCAGAAAAGAAAATATTGTATTCTATTGAATTTGTGACCCCCAGGAGAATATTGGTTAGGAACGTATATTTGGGATGTAGATCTATATGAAATAATTTGTGAAAACATGAACAAATTACAAATATAAGAAAGTAGCACGGGACCAAATATTTGTTGAGTCGTCACTGAATTATACTATGATGAAAAATATGGTCTTTATGGGGTCTCCAACTTACAATTTAAATGGCAAATAAAATTAATTCCCATCTTACGGTAATGGGTGTAAAATAGTAATTATATTTGACTATTCTGAAATCATTCCGTCCTCATTTATGAGGTGGATAAAACTATTTTTACTTATTTAAATCACTCGAATTTTTCAGTTTGACATGCTATGCTGTTCCGCTATATTTTTAATTTGGCCTCTATTTGTCATCTTGGATTATAAGAGGTAGAAGAAAGTTTTCAATGTAGGTCGGAGTAGTGCCCATATAAAGGTACCTCCTGATTTTACCATATTTCTAAGGATTTGGCTAAAAATGTGTATTTGCGGGGTGAAAATCTTACACAAACATTTCAAGATATCTACAAAATTTTAGAATTTTCTCCATGTAATAGTACCCCCTCAAGTTCACCTTTTGGTGGACAAACAGACAGACATGGTTAGTGTGACTTATGAGGACTCTAATGCACAATGTAAGGTGTTACTGGGTTTAAAAAAGTAATTAACTTTGGCTATTCTTAAATCATTCGGCCCTCAGTTATGAGGTGTAGAAAATACAGTAAATTCCAAATTATTGCTCATTTGACTGGAAAATTTTGCTACGATTTTTACCATACTAAAAATTAATTTAATCCCTTACATGGGGATACGATTAATATATACTTTTTAATAGATTTGTACATCCACACATTTGAAGCCCTCGGTTTAAATATGAAAGCCCACGGCTTAAATATAGGCACAGGTATTTCAAAACACTTTTAATCGACCAGTACGTGAACACTTATATCAGTCATATCAGTGAATAATTATGCTTGGGAAAATATGCATAATAGACAAAAACTACGGGCCGGCAACGCGGACCGGGCCAGCTAGTCTATATATAAATGAAAGTTGTGTTAGTTACTACGCTTATAACTTAAGAACCGCTGAACTGATTTTAATGATTCATACAAATTCGGAATTGTCTCTTATCCGAAAAGGATAATATCCAAAAAATCGCGTAAAAATGTGATATGTTAACATTTTCATTTTGACTTTTGAAATGTACAATAGTAATGTTTTATTTTGCATGATTTTTTCCATTTTGACTTACTTTTTTCTAATGTACATTTGTAGTGTTTTTTATATTTTATTTTTGAATTCGAATATTAATACCAATTTATTTAATTGACTTGATTTCTTGAGAACTGAAATTGATAACGGGTTACATGGAAGTGTAGTACCGAATTATGTGGTGGCGAAACGGAATAGATGATACCGAAATAATTTAATGCGGTCACACCAAAGATAAAAGAAAATTACTTTTTCAAAATCGTTAAAAAGAAACACGAAAAAAGAGATCTCATTGCAACAATTCTCAAAACGGGAAAATATCGAAAAAAAATTCCAATGGAATTGAATTTTAAAATAAAAGTACATTCTATTGACAAACTTTGTAAGGATCTTAAAACAGTTGCAGTAAAAAATCAGCGAACAAGTTAAAGATTTTTTCAATTTGTTATTCTTTTTTTGTCAATTTTTTTCAATTTGTAATATCATATTGAATTCAGTGGATTTTTGTGAACAAAATAAAGAATGATTTTCCACTATATACAATTTTTCGCCAAAAAAAATGAAATAAGTGCGAAATACGATGGTAACTGACATCTACCTTTCAACTCCAGGGCCTACATCGTGCTTCAGCTGGAAGATGCGCAGACATTTAAACAAACAAAAATGACCGAAAAAGACTAATGGGGCTTATTTCAAAGCGTGGCCTTACTTCTTTCATGTGACAATAGTCCGTCCAATGAGAGCTCAAATGCAAACATTTTTGGGAGTACAATCAGTAAAATACCAAATATAAAGGGTGCAAAATAGTAGAGCGAATGGGACTTTTAGTAAGAAAAGGATTTCTATCCTTCCAAAAATTCTGCCTGAACATTTAAGATACCTTAAATCGCTTTAGCAGGTCATGATATCGATCATAAATAATCATCGTATGATTTAACCCATTTTTGGAGCCTTCGCCATTTTCTTCTATTTTTGGCCCTTATTTGGCATCTTTGTTTCTAAGGGGGGCAGAGAACCTCTTCGCATAAAATTTTCGGAGTAGGGCCCATATTGGTCTTGACCACTAAAAAATTTTATTTATGCTACCCTGGGGTAAGGAACCATCGTACAGATAATTGCCACATAGAAATCTATTCATGTAAAGTCCCCACATTGGAGTATCCCCAAGTCCACTTTCACATCTAATGTGTGGTCAGAAAAGAAAAATTTGTATTCTAT